ATTAATTTGATAATTTACCATTAATAATTAAGGATAAGATTACAAAAGTACTCTTTTGTAGGTTTTTGAACATGAACCTACATCTCTCTCTCTCTCTCTCTCTCTCTATATATATATATATATATATATATATATATATATATATATATATATATACATACATACTACATTATAATGCATAAATAATGTAAGGTCCATCAATTTTTAAGACCAACTCTTAAAAACAAGGAGGTAAAAATCACATCCCTTGAAATAAGTTTGAATGGTATAGATTCAGTGAATGGTGATCCAAGTGAATAAGATTAAACCAATCAAAACACATGTACTATCATTAAATCCTAAAGTACAATTTTTAATGCTTTAATGTAGAAACACGCGTAATTTTTGATATATACTCTAATGTACCTTCTCATTTTGAATCCATTTCTTGTTGATACCACATTTTCTTAGAAACCCTAACTACAACCACGAGCACCAGATGCCACCACCGACAATTATCACCGATACCGTTGCAACCATGCACCACCAAAAAACTGTCCATCGTCGCCACCTTTAGTCATCTCATTTATCATCTACAACTTTCAACCACCACAAAAATCCCACTAATAAGCCACCCCCGTCTTCATCATCCTACCTTCACCCCCATAAAATTCTAATTCTGACATGCCTAACCGTCTACCTCTTTGAATCTATCTTAAATCCACCATTTTTCGTTGTCCCTCAACCTCACCGTTGATGCTCTACATTAACGTTGCCAAAAGCCACTCATTGCCGCCATCATCCACCAAACACACCATCGTACAACCTCAATGTCTCTCCCTCTTTCTTTCCTTCTAGTTTACGTTTAAATTCACATACATACACCTAGATTTAAACAAACATGCAACTCTCTTTCCATGTGCAGGTTTTAGTTCTAAATAGATCTCAAATACTTGGCTTTCTTCTTGCTTTGCGAGGCTATGAAAACCTAATCTACGTTCTTCGGTAAAAACACTTCTATTTCCTATAAATTATGGTTGTGATTTTGGTCTCAATGTGCATCGACCTGCCCTTGGTTTTTGTTTTTATATTATGATTATTATGTTGCTTTAATGTTGCTGTATCTCAGTGTATTTACTCTGATTTCAGATTGTGTTTATTTGCTTATATATATATATTTGATGTGTGTATTTTTTAAATCTGTTATGTGTTTATTAGATATGTGTGTCCATGTAAGGTTAGGATTATGTTTATGTTTCTGAAATCATATACTATATTATTAAAATTTTAATGAATGAACGTAGGAAAATATAAAGCCAACCAGTTAGAGCAAGCTATATTTTGTTTGGAACTTCAAATTGAGAACATGAATCATAAACTAGATGTATAAAAGGTTGTTGCACATATGTATATTTGTGGTTAGATGTTTGTATATCAGAATTTCTAGAAAGTTATTTTGTTTAGAAAAATTGCATTTATTAGTTTTTTGTGCCATGTTAGTTTTGATGATTTTAAATAATTTGATTTGTGGTTTTTGTATTTCTACTGGGTACTGATGCGGTGAAGCAGTGAGGTTCGGAAGTCAAAAAAAAATTAGATATGAATATATGATAGTTTTGGAAGGAGATGTCAAGAAGGAGTGGGAATGGGGTTTTGTCTCGATTTGTAGGGTATGGATTTCCAGAAAGAGAAATAAAGGGTGTGCTACATAAACATATCTTAACTTTTTTTTTTTTATTAATTATCATGTTTGCAAATTAATTTTTGTAAAGAGCTGAAAACAAGGTTTATATATATATATATATATATATATATATATATATATATATATATATATATATATATATATATATATATATATATATATATATATATATATATATATATATATATATATATATATATAGAGGGTTAGGTTCATGTGAGACGGCCTAATTTTGTGAGACCGTGAGACGCATTTTTTTATTTTATTTATTTATTTTAAATTTTTTTAGTTAATTCAAGTTCCGAAAATAATATTTAAAAAAAGAACTTTTTGATTTTTCCATTTATTTTGCATTTTAAAATTATTTTTAGAATATATACAGTGTAATTTTCTATTTAGAATATTTCACGTATTTTTCAAAAAAAATAGAATTTTATTTATTTATTTTTAGTTAATTCAAGTTCCGAAAATAATATTTAAAAAAAGAATTTTTAGATTTTTCCATTTATTTTGCATTTTAAAATTATTTTTTAGAATATGTCAGTGTAATATTCTATTTAGAATATTTCACATATTTTAAAAAAACAAAAACGGGATTTTTTTTATTTATTTTTATTTTTATTTTATTTTATTTTTATTTTTTTTTAGTTAATTCAAGTTTCGAAAATAATATTTAAAAAAAGAATTTTTCGATTTTTCCATTTATTTTGCATTTTAAAATTATTTTTAGATTTGGTCTAACGGTCTCACAAAATTAGAATGGTCTCAAATGAACCTGAACCTATATATATATATATATATATATATATATATATATATATATATATATATATATATATATATATATATATATATAATTTGCACCTAAACATAAAAAGGAAAACGTGTGCCATGTGTTTGGAAGAATCCAAGAATTATGCATTTAATTTCATTTTTAGTTTTCACAAAAAATTGGCGAACATAATTAAATATAATAATTTGAAACTTTTACTTAGATATTAGTTTTGAAAACTATAATATCAACGTTCAAAATAAAGTAGTTTTTTATTTTTATGCTTAGTCATTTATAGAAGTTAACCGCATAAATAATTAATGATGTGTTCGATAAAACTAGCTGGTAGTAGATATCGTTTAATTTTAGAGCGTTTTGTTGAAAGTTACTCCATATAACTTTTGATTTTAGAACGTTTTGTTTAAGTTAAAAGCTAAACGCTCATGTTGTCGAACGAAACTTTTTTTTTTATTAGCGTTTTCTTAAAAGCTAGAAGCTAGAAGCTCCTAAACACTGCGTGCCGAATACACCCTAACTCTTAACGAACAACAAAACAATAACTTATTTTCATATACTTCTTAATTATACATATTTAAATATATATTTATATTTATTATAAAAAAATACATATTTAAAATTTTTAATCAATACAACAATATTGTTTATGAATACATTTTAATACTAATTGTTATTTAACAATACGTTACCTGCTTTTTAACGTCAAATATAACCTACTTCTACCAAACTACTTCTAATACTACCTATGTCCTGGACGCAACTTGAACCCTCAAGCTCAAGGAAGGAGGACACCACCTGGTACCGCTGAGCTAGGATGTATGATTTCGGACTGCAACCCAGGGGCGGATTTATATGGTGCTCGGGGTGCACGGGCAACCCTCAAATTTTACCAGTAAGTGCAAAATTTAATGTAAATTCGTCGAAATCTACCACAAATCCGTTACAAATTCATCAAAAATCCGTCACAAATTTATCAAATTAATTAGTAATAAATGTAAATTTAATGTAAATATGTCGATGTAACTCTTTTAGTGACGAATTTTATGATGAAAACAAGTTTTTTTTAGCAGTGCACCCTTAAAAAATTTGTGCAACCTTCATACTTTTTTTCTATGTCCACCACCAGAACTGAACTGACTAAAAACTGATTAAGGAATTAATGGGAAACCGAAAACCATAATCATCGAAAGAAACTATTTGCTGAAAATAAACAATTCACCGCCCTGGCACGATGTCACATTGCAAACTAACAACATACTTTGTTTTTTTATCCTGAAACAACAACATGCCCAAAGAAAACTAATCGCCGAAGAAACAATTTGTCAGAATGCTGAAACGAACTATCAAACACAAAAATATAACTAATCGACGCATAAAAACTATCTGGCGCTGCTGCCAGATAAAGAGTAATAGACGAAAATTATTATTTGCTGCCCGTCTAGAAACAACTGATTCCCGAAAGGAACGAATCGTTGGAATAAAACAAATCGAAAGAAAACAATTTGACGACCGCCAAAATGACACTAACATTCGTACTGAAACTAATCGCCGGAATGTAACAAATCGTCACCGTCGCATCGCGCGGGTACGCTATATATATATATATATATATATATATATATATATATATATATATATATATATAATATATATATATATATATATATTAGGGTAAATGTCATTGTAACCCAACGAACTTTCAGGTTTTGGTTCAAATGGTCCCTTGTGATATTTTTTTGCATTATAAGGGAACGAATTCAATCCTTACCGGCTAGTTTGGCCAAGTTACCTGTAATAATTGGTTACTGATGTCAAAAAGAGTGTCACATAGGAAATAATATGTTGATTTGTAATTATATACCTCTATGTTGGTCCTAGTCAACAAATATTGGTCCCCACCACCTTCTTCCCTTATTTCCTTCTTCAGATCCTCTCATTACCTCCTTCCACCCTGGTTTTCTTTCTAAGATAAATGAAAGCATTTATTTTATCTTGGGTATGAAAATGAAGATGAACATGTTTCCGTCAATATTAAACCCAAATCAAACCTCACCATTACTTCAGAAAAAAAAACATCACAGGTTTGAAACCTATGACCGCCCTGTTTACCGAACCCTATATATCGTTGCTTTGGTTATCGTGAACGACGATGCCTCCTTTTGTCGTTGCTCTGCTTCATCTCTACTTCAGCCACCAGCCGGTGAAAGCCCTCCCCTCCCTTCTACTCACTAGTTGACCCTTCCCCACTGCCCAAATCAGATCAAGATTGGGAGAGATCCGGGGATGAAGATCATGTGTTTATGGATGGAGGATGAAATTAAGCCTAAATCAAACCCCCACCATTAAAAATGAACCCAGATGAAACTAAGCCTAAATCAAACCCAACGTCCTGAATGTTCAAGAAAGAAGCAGTATAGCTTTACGAACATATGATGGATAGTCCTTACAAGCAGTTTTTTGATCAACCTTACGAGCTTTAAGGCCTCCTCTAATTTCCTCTCTAACAACAGTTTTTTGATCAAATTCTTATAGGTCGCCTGTCATGGTTTCACCCACCTGTCTTGTCTCAATCATTTCAACAAGCACCTGGTGTGCTTCAATAGCCTTGTTTTGACTCAAGAACCCATTTACCAAAACGTCCAAAAGGTTCGCATCAGCCTCGCAACCTTTCTCAATCATTTTGGCGAAAATGATCAGAGCTTTGTCAACTTCATTGGCTGAACAATGTCCCTTGATTAGAATCGCCCATGTCTTGATGTCAGGATTGCAACCATTTGCTTGCATTTCATCGAGCACCTTGGCTGCGTCTTCTAGTCTTCGGGCTTTACATAGACCAAAGATTAATTGGCTGTAGGTTATGTTATCGGGTTCGTATCCTGCATCTTTCATGGCTGTCATCATCTTCTTGGCTTCATCAATTTGACCTACACTTGTTAATGATCTATGAATACCATCATAAACGCTTTTTGAAAGAGTTTCCTGTGGCTTCAAATTTATTTACTATCCGAAAAACAAGATCAAAATTTCGTGAAATGTTGCCTGCAATGGTTCTTAGAAGCAGGGGCGGAGTTAGGATTTTAGGATAAAAGGGGCTTATATATATTAAAAAAATTATTCAAATAACATAATCCACTTTGTATGATTGAAAGGGAGAATGATAAAGAGAAAATAGAATAAATAGGAACTACATCGATTTTTTTCAAGAATTCAAGAATTATTTTTCTTTTTCGATTGAAAAAAATTCAATAATTATTTTTTTACACATGGTTTACCCTATTATTATAAGAATTTTGAAACTAATCAACTAATCATAATATTATCATTAATTACAAATTATATTGCTAAAAAATGTTAATCATAAGTAAAAATAACGTAAATATGTATTAACTAGTAAAGTAATAATTAGAAATTATATTTTCTTGAACTTTGAAGTTTGTAAAAGAAAGTGAGGCCAATGTAATTTGCAATATAGTCCCTTTGCCAATTGCCGATGATTTTTAACTGCGGTCAAATTGTAATTGATATATTTGTTATTGAATATGCAAATTATAATTGTCCAACAACAATATTAAGGAAATTGGGCTAAGGGGGCGATAGGCTTTGGATTAGTTGGATAAAAGTAATTAATAGGGTTTATAATTATAACTAATAGTATATAAGTAAAATGAAAAATGTTGGAGGGGGCAGCACACCTGGTAGTCCCTGTACTGTCTCCGCCCCTGCTTAGAAGAACACTACAATGTTGAATTGAGGGCTTGTAAGAACTATCCATCATATGCTCGTAAAAAATTCGGTTGAGGACGCTCGAGATCACAATCACGGGAGGTTAACGAAACATTGGAGTCGATTCACGTCTTTGGTAGGGTTTCTTGACCTAGATCTGATTCATAGAGGTTGCAATATAGAGAAATCCATCGATCCCATAGAGGGTCATTGTGACGTCTTAAATATTTAGACAAGTGGCAAGTGAAGTGGCCGATTTGTCTAATGGTACATGATTAAAAGGAAGGGGTTCACTGGGTGACCCCTTCACATTCTTGATAATGACATTTTAAATCTAGAAAACATGAATTCGTTCCCTTATAATGCAAAAAAAAATATCACAATGGACCATTTAAACCAAAATCTGAAAGTTCGTTGGGTTACAGTGATATTTTCCCATAATATTAAGGTATGGTAAAAAAAAAGTCTGATTCTCTCTCTCTCTCTCTCTCTCTCTCTCTCTCTCTCTCTCTCTCTCTCTCTCTCTCTCTCTCTCTCTCTCTCTCTCTCTCTCTCTCTCTCCGTATATATATATATATATATATATATATATATATATATATATATATATATATATATATATATATATATATATATATATATATATATATATATAGGGAGAGAGAGAGAGAGAATCAGACTTTTTTTTTATCATACGTTAATATTATATGTTACTGGATATATCAGATGACATACATGTTAACATGCCTAACTAAGTAAATTTGAAGAAAAAAAATGAAAACTAACTTTCTAACCATTGTATTTGAAAATTTTCACAACAAATCCTTGTTCCTTCATACTCTAGAGATTTGTAGTTTTGATGATTCAAGTCCCACACCCATATTGTTATCCATGTCCTCTATTATAAAAACATGAAAGGAACAAGTTATAAACTTTTTACACTCTTTAATCTAAAATTTAAAAAATAAATAGAAAAAAAGGTTAAAAACGCATTGTAAAATCTACCATTAGGGAAATCGGTGATGAAAAAACTTGCCCCGATAACTATGTAGCACAGCAACAGAACCACCCCTTTAAGGTAGTGAGAAGTCCCATCCTGAAAAAAAGAACATATAATATTTATTTTTCATAACATTATTGTAGTGTAATTTGTTGAAGAGGCTTTGAGCTTGATATACAAACTAAATAATTATCTTGCTTAAAAAAGCAAATTAAAAAGAAATACCTGCAACGTGAAGGCTGTGACTAAAATTGCTAGAGAAAGTGATCCGGTTTGAAGAAGACTAAAATCAAGATCCATGTTCACACCAATTATCCATGCAACAATTACACTCAGTGGGACCTAAAGTACATGTACACATTATGATTAAAATTGTATTTCCTAAAACAAAAACAATTTCAAAAATTCGTGACACTTACCACAAAAACAGCAATTTGAGTTGCGGAACCTAGTGCCACGCCCAGAGTTATATCCTATATTCATAACATTTAATTTTATAAAATCTTATTATAAAATCTTAGTTTCAAAGTACAATGATAAAAAAAAAAAAAAAAAAAAAAAAAAAAAAAAAAAGGAACCCTACCAGCTTGTTCTTCAAAGCAAAGATGACAGCTCCAGCATGCTCAGCTGCATTTCCCACAATTGGTAGCAAAATGATGCTAGTGAAGCTCAATGGCATTCCCCATGAATTTGATGCCGCCTATTTAACAAATATAATCCAAATTATTTACAACTTTTTTTTTAAAAAAATCAATGGGACCCACAAAATTAATGTACCTCAATAGTGTCAACTAAATATTCAGACAACAATGCGATAACGGCCGTCATTCCAATTAGCCAAAATATGCCACTCCAAAGCCCAATCGCCTTGTCATCCTTGGCCTCATCCTGTATGAGTAAATGACCATTTTACCCATCGTTATATTGAATAACAAATAACGAATTACTTTTGATTTGTGAAGTGTTAAATTATTCTTACCTCTTGTGGTTCAAAGATATGGTTGTGAGTCCATAGTTGAAAGGAAAGGTAAGCAAAGTAAGCAAGGAGCATGATAATGCTAGTGGCTCTTGACAAATTTAATGTTGCTTTTGTCACAGTTACCAAATCAACAGGTGAAACAGCATGTTTATATAGCAAGGGCATTGCATTGCAAAGTAAAGATAGAAGTAGTAGAGATATATTCACATCTGATTGTTTCTGTTTCATCAACACATAGAATATGTTTTGAATTAGCAATGTACTTTTATTTATTTGATTATTATAGCATCATACTTGTATTTTTTTTTTAAATATTAAAGCATTGTATTTGGAAAAGTCTACACATAGGACATAGCAATGTCATCCAAATAGAAAACAATTTTCAGCGCTTTAATTGGGTAGATTTTTCAAAATACAATGTTCCAATAAGAAAAAAAAATGGAAATACAATTGGGAATAATTTTCAAAATACAACTAATAGAAAAAAATCAATTAACAATGATATAATAAAAAAAGTCGATTTGAACAATAATAGAGTTATAGAGTCACGCCAAACGAGTGATTGAAATTGTTAACGAACCTAAACTTTTTCTTTGGACTTTGCAAACATAAGTGGCGTGGTTAATTATCAAGTGTGTCGTCAAAACATTAGGATAAAAAAAATGATTTCCTCGAATTACCAAAATGTAATAATAATAAAAAAGATATCTTTATCAAGTAAAAAGCATCCTAACAAATTATATATTTTAACAGATTTATACTTTAAATAACCCTTTCACTTGAGTTAGATCTAAAAAGATTACTTTTGTTGGTGGGATTCAACCCCACTAACCTATAATAGATTTTAGCATGTTGAATGTCCACTATACGTATCTTTTATGGTGGTCCAAATATGATAACAATACCCATCTCAAAAACTTTATATATATATATATATATATATATATATATATATATATATATATATATATATATATATATATATATATATATATATATATATATATATATATATATATATATATATATATATATATATATATATATATATATATATATATATATATATATATATATATATATATATATATTAGCTAGGGAAGTGTACCCTATCAAATTTTTGGTCCCTTGAAAGATTTGTGATGCCACCGAAAAGGAGAGAGGATCCAAGAACGAGAAGTAAGTTGGATAGGATGGAACCCAAAAGAGAGTACTTGACAATATCCACTTTGTGTTGTATTAATGCAAATATTGATATGATAAGTTCCGTTGCATTTCCACATGTTGCATTTAATAGCCCTCCCACTGCAAAATTATTTAATTAATTCAGTTATTGTCTATATATTGCATTTTAATTCCTTTTCTTTTTTTCTTTTTTCCTGTCATTTGTACATTGTTTGTCCTCTTTAGTATCTTGCTAGAGGTGGATCTTCCTTTTATATATATATATATATATATATATATATATATATATATATATATATATATATATATATATATATATATATATATATATAATTCTCGTAGTTGATTCAAAAAATAAAAAAGATAGTTGTTGATAGAATGAAATCTGATTGAGTAAGATTAATTTTTATGAGACTTATTACAAGACATATTATAGGCTATAAAACATAATCACAAGCCTTTCATTATAATATCAAATCATACACTTTGAATCTGATGGAGTTCTTGATACGATATAAAAGACATCACATCCTCTATATATAGAATAAAAACATAGAAAGTAGATGCGTATGCATAAGTTTCTTATCATTGATCAAAATCTATTCTAATAAATGAAGTTTTTTTTTGCTACTTGTCACACTCTCATTTAATTTGTCACATGTCATTTTGTGGTTATTTTGAATTAATTTTTTTCCATATATCATTTTATAAGTTTTTTCTATTTTTTTAAATAATATTATAATGTAATAGTTGCAATAAATAAAGTAATAAATATATATCAATATCATTAATGAACTTACCTTTTAATTTCAAAATTTTCAAAATTAAAGTTCATTAGTTTATTTACTTATTTATATAAATTATTTGTTTAAATTTAAAAGATAAAAACATATACATTATAATAATTCATTATTTTTCTTATTTTCTTATAAATTCAAAGTTCTTAAATATTTAAACATTTATATTTATTTTATTTTAAATTAACTCATATAGTAGATGAGTCTCACAACTAATAAAGTAATATAAGTTTAAAAGTTTTACATTCAACAAATATTTTATGTATTATGATAAAGTAGAATACTAATATCTAACATGCCATATTTATTTTGAGTGTATAACAACTAACTCAGAAGAGTAGAATAATAATATATAACATCTCACATTTATTTTGAGTGTATAACAACAAAGTCAGAAGAGAATCGTTTTCAGAAACAAACAAAATATTATTTTGAGATGAAAGATGAAGCTACTTGTAATATATTAACACTTTACTTGTTGTGAGACTCATGTATTACATAGGTTAATTTAAAAAATATATATATAAATGTAAAAATATTTGAGAACTTTGAATTTGTAAGAAAATAAGAAAAATAATGATTTATTATAATGAAAATGTTTTTTATCTTTTAAATTTAAACAAATAATTTAAATAAAAAAAACTAATGAGCTTTAATTTTGAGAATTTAGAAATTAAAAGGTAACTCTATTAATGAAATTGATATCTATTTATTACTATATTTATTGTAATTATTACATTAAAATATTATATGAAATTTAATAAAAAAAAAAAAAACCCATAAAATGACATGTGGACAAAAAAATTAATTTAAAATAACAAAAAAATGACATTTAGCAAATTGAATGAGAATATGACATGTGACAAAAAAAACCCTACATTTATTAGAGAGTATGTAAAATCCTCCTTAATAAATGAAGGTTTTTTTTACCACTTGTCAATCTTTCATCAGTTTTGACACTTGTCATTTGTGGTAATTTTAAAATAAATATTATTTATTTGTCAATTTTTTGATTTGTTTTAATTTTTAATTAAAAGTCTAATATATGATACGATATTAAATTGTAATAAATACGTTTCTTTCTTTTTTATTTTAAAGTTGTACATTAAAAAATATTTTTTTTATACTTTAAGTTTAATATTTTTTAAATCAACATGTATAATATACGAGTTTCACACCTACTAACTTTTACATGTTTACACTATATTTCCAAAAACCAAATTACTTTATTCACAATTTAATATTGAACCTATGAATAAGTTTGTTTTGATTATATCTTATTCTAAATGGTAAAATAAATAAAACTAAAAATTCAAATAAGTTGATTTCGAATATAGTTTATGCAATTTAACTTTTTATCTTATAAAAATTGTAATTGCAAAAATAAAATTAATTTTATAATTTCATAAAGACTATATTTTTTAATTGTTTACGATTGATCTTTTTTTTTTTTTTTTGAAACAGCTACTTTTTATCTTATAACACATCTTTATATCATAAACCTTATATATTAGGTTCTTTCGATTAAGCTTCAAGATTATATTTTCCTAAAATAACCTTCATTTTTATTTTATTCTGAAAAAACCCTTAACCTTTTAATTTTTTTTCCGAAAAAAAAAAACCTCACATTTGAGAAGTTTTTCAGAAATAAAAAAAACTGCTCAAATAAAATAAAAAAAAATAGAAAATTCAAAGTCCTTTTAAAGAAAAAATACAATATATTTATAATATTGAGCCTAAAACCTTAAGATAAATATAAAACGAGTCAAACGGGTTTATACTTTATACAACAAAGCTTTAACCATTTTACTAAATTATGCCAATAAAATAGTTTTTGACATAAATAATCTCGTGCAAATTAATCAATCATACTCTAACCAACTACACACGTCACATGTAAAATGTTTGTATGTTTTAGTTCCATAATATGGTTTGTATATTTCATTTCAAAACACCACTTTTGCTACAAAAATCCAAAAAAAGAAAACACATGGTACGCATAAACAAACATTCAATGGGTTATTTACAGAAAAATCTCAAACTTTTTTCAAAAGTTTTTTTTTAATAGAAAAGTTCCAATATTTTAAAAAAAATCAATCAATCATACTTTAACCAACTACAGACATCACATGTAAAATGTTTGCATGTTTTAGTTCCATAATATGGTTTGTATATTTCATTTCAAAACACCACTTTTGCTACAAAAATCCAAAAAAAGAAAACACATGTACACATAAACAAACATTCAATGGGTTATTTACATAAAAGTCTCAAATTTTTTTCAAAAGTTTTTTTTTTAATAGAAAAGTTCCAATATTTTGAAAAATAAATCAATCAATCATACTCTAACCAACTACACACGTCACATGTAAAATGTTTGCATGTTTTAGTTCCATAATATGGTTTGTATATTTCATCGCAAAACACCTCTTTTGCTACAAAAATCGAAAAAACAAAACACATGGTACGCATAAACAAACATTCAATGGGTTATTTACAAAAAAGTCTCAAACTTTTTTTAAAAGTTTTTTTTTAATAGAAAAGTTCCAATATTTTGAAAAAAAACATATAATCTATTATTTGTTGTTCAAATATAAAAAAAGTTTTTTTCGTTAATTTAGACAAAACATCAAAATATTGAGATTTTTCTATTCAAAATTTTTTTTATAACTTTATTGAAATTTTTAAAAAAAATTTAGGACTTTTTATAGATAACCCAACATTCAACCTTTTGTTAATCGTAAATTTTAAGTTAATTTATGTATAAGTCAAATGCAATGAACCCTTTCTTAAAATATATTTATAGATTTTAAAAAAAAAAAATCTACGTCATCGTAAACGAACTAATTTTATAAACAAAAAAATTAAATATAATAATGGGTTTTTTACCTGTTGCGCCGGTATAGAATGATATTTGCCTGTATTTTACAAATGTTAACGGAATATCCATTAGTTTAATATTTATTTATATATTAAAAATCACAAAAATAGAGAAAAAAAAAAAGTTATATTATCTTACTCCGTTAGAAAGCTAACACGCTCAGCAAGCGGAATCAATCCAAGTAAACTCAACGAAAAAATCCATGCCTGATTTTTAAATACACAAAATCATCTTCAATTCCGATTCCAATTACAAATTACAAAGAGGAAATCCATCCATAATTTCACATATAAGAAACAATTTTTGTTAGGGTTTCGATCGATGAGAATCTCACCTGTGACAACCGGAAGTAATGAGCGGCGACGGCGAGTGGGACGGCGAGAAAAAGAATCGATAATTTAGTTCCCAAAATGACCTCCTGGAGGTTGCCAAGGAAATTCCTGAGAGATGAAGATGAAAGTGTAGAGATGAGGGACAAATCGGACTTTTTACGAAGGGAGGAGGAGGACAGGTTGTGAGCAGTCCGACTATGTCCAAAGCCGTTTCTGGACTCTCTGGTTAGCCGGTTGACGGCGCCGTTTTCGAGCAACCATGGTTCCGGTTCCGGTTCCGTCTCCCGGGAATCCATTATTTCACTTTCGTTTAGTTGCATAACAAAGACTGTTCAACCTGAAGGACCTGCTCTCAGTTTTTTATATAGGATTGAAGAAGTATTCTTTAACATTTTCTTGTTCTTTCTTATAAACAAGGAATTTTAATCCAAATAGGTTAGAACTAGTTTGTATATTATAATTTAGAAAAAAAAATCCTTACTTTAATCGATACAATGAAAAAAAGACATTTTTTTAAAGGACCGTTCCCCCAAAAAAAAACGAGACTGAATCGGTTTAGAAAAAAAAATAAAAAATAATCCTTACTTTTCAAATTTATATTTTTTATTTATTTCCAACCACACCATTACTAATTTACTTGTGAATTCTACAAAACCACGTCTCTTGTAGCTTCCTTAATTTACAAACTCACACCATCAATCTCCAAAGCATTTACATTATCTTAATCAAGTTCATAGAATTTGATTTGGTTAGACAATATGTTCGTTGTTAAACAATGATCGGTTTTTTAGCAAGGTACGGAATGTATCGACTATCGACAAATATTCAATATTATTCCATAAGATCTAGTTTCGTTCAAGTAAGGGATTCTTAGTAATTTTGTTTTTCCATATGAAATTTAACATCCATCTATTTAAATCAAGGTTCTAAAATGTTCGTTATGGTTTAGCTCCAAGATTTGTATTTAACGTCAAGTTTTAACAAGATGTTGTCGATTCAAATATCATATATGTATATAAAAAATAATAATAGTAGAAAAAACATATAAAGATATTAATTATATAAAAAATATACGCTTTAAGTCATGCCTTACAAACGATATGACTCACCACAACTTGTAAAAACTTGAGGCTCAACATTGCCGTCAAAGTCACGCTCACGCCTAATGTTATTAACCTTGATTTAAATTTAAAACATGTTTTTTAAATTCATCTAGGGTCCTATTTTTATTTTTCGCACATGATCCTTAAAATCAACAGGCCCCTAGACACAACTAATATTCTTAAAACTTATACCCATCTATCTTGAGGTGATATCAATACTATGTATGACTCGTTAGACTTTAATGAGAAATTCCACAACATATGAATCAATAAAACCAAATGTATCAAACATGAATGGTATAAACACATATTGATTTTTCAAGCACGCTATCTCATATTTGACCATTTTGCATGAGACAACTTTTAAAACATCATGTCGTACAATTAAACTTTAGATACAATATATGGCGTCGTATGAGATTTGTAGCAGTCTAAGCTTGTGTTTGATGAGCTAGCCTATACGCTAATTCATAAACTACAATAAACCATTTTTATACTCTCACCAAACACTACTTATTAGTCTCTAGTTAAAATTTGGTTGATTATTAAAAAGTTATAGTTATTAATTAAATTCGGTTGGTTATTATCAATAAAAGTAAAATATATAGTCTTGTACTATAGAGTTATCGAAATGTATATATTGTTGGGGTGCAAACCCAATCTCACATTGATAAAAAGAGAAACTATATGCTAACATATAAGGCAATATGTAATGTCTTCTATCACCAATTGGTTTTAAACAATAGAACCTCATTGTTGTTCTTCTATGTTGAGCATGGTTGGGCTAGTAACAATAGGAATGAAAGTGAGTCTAAACCCAACCCGGATGGACCTGGTCCTAGAAAACCAGAAAACTGATTAACTGAATTTTTTAGGAATGAAAACCATATCGGTATATAGGAAACGATTCTGGGTAAGGTACCGGGTAACGTGAATCCAGAAACGGAAAACCCAAAAATGTCAAATAGGGTCGGTGGAACCGGGTAATGAAAGTCTAGAACCGGAAAATCCAGGAAAACCAAAATTTTTTGGTTATCCCGACTACGGGGGACTATAAGTAATTTAATATTAAACCAAAATGTTGCGCCCGTGTTCCTGGGCTAAAGCATTAAAGATGATGTAATAGTCTAGATCAACATTTGTAACTCGTTTTAAAGTAATAATAATGAATTATGTGAATTTATGTGTTTTATACTTAATTATTATGATATAATAAATAAGGATAAAAATAATTGTCAAAAATAAAATGTTAGATAACCCGATATCTATGAAGAAAGTTGTAGTGGTCGAAACAAGGATTCCGGAGATATAAAGAATACCGAAATCCGAATTATAGCGAAGAAGTTATGACATGTCGAAGCTTCGCGACAGAACCGATATGACGTTGTGTGACGTAAAAAGTGAGTTTACGATAAAGTGATTTTTAGCCTTAGCGATGTAAATGAAAGTCGCAGGACACGTTAAACCGAGAGCGTGTATAAAAGGAATGTCAAAATCTAACTTCGTATGAGGAAGTTATGAATTTTCTAAGATTTAGCATAACAATATGTATCCCGAAATTCGAATTACAGATCGAGCGATTTTTAGCTGACACAACCTAAAAGAGAATCGAAGATCTTGTCGGTAGTAGTTTATTGGTAAAAAGATAGACAAAACGGACGTCGGATGAATAAGTTATGAATTTTTAACGGACTTTTCATGTCTCGGCCTGTTAAAAGATAACTTTAAAAATTAAGTCAGAATTAGACAACGGGGTCTAAATGAAAGTTGTAGAGCACGGTCTTACCTACACGTGCATATAAAGAGCATCGAAAACGGAGCTCGTATGCAAAAGTTATGAATTTTTGAAGTTTGAGGCACAAACTTCGAGGCTGGAAGCACGCCAAGCGTACTAAAGGGTACGCTAAGTGTACTGATGTACGCCCAGCGTACGAGGTCTGTACACCCAACATACTTATATTTTCTCGGTCCATAATTGCCCATGACACACCCTTTGCATGCTTGACACGTTGGTGAACACGTCCGAAGTAATCCATTCCTACGCTCAACGTACGTGAGTACGCCCAATGTAGAGCCTTGTAAGGTAGTACGCCCCGCGTACCTGAAGATTACGCCCCGTGTAATGCAAGGCTTCGGCCACTATTCATAGAGAGCAAGACCTCCCGATTTTTGTTTACAAAATTTATATCTTTCCATCCCCTACTTTCTTGTAAGTTACAATAAAACCCCCCAAGCCTAGGGTACCTTCCTAGCATTGTAAGAAAGCCCCGAAAGAGCCCAAAGTCTCCAAGAAAAAAAGAGTTTTTCGAGTCGAAACTCTACCCGAGCAGAGCCCGGTTTTTGAGCAAACCTCCCGATTTCATCAACGAAGATTATTTTAAGCGAAGTAATGTCCGAATCACCACCTTATCAGGTGAGTGCATAGTTACTTTCATCTTACACATAGATATGAAGTATTTTATATAATTTACATGCTATGTGTGCATACTATCTATTTACTTGAGATCTATACTGGATGAAAGATTTAAACTTTGTTTTTCAGATCTGAACCCTATATGTATTTTCTTTTCGGATCTATACTTTTTCTTTAGATTTGAAACGTATACGTATTTTATATCTATAAAAATATTGGGTAGAACATGGGTAGATGAAATAGCTGGTGTGTGAAGAAAGATGAGTTGGAGGATGAGATGAAAGGTGATATAAAATATGAGATGAGGGTGAGGGGTGAAAAATGAGAGAAGCCCTTACCCAAACATTGGCCCCGTCATCTAGTAGAGTATGGATGACAACCATGGACTATTCTACACGGTCCATGGAACACTAGCAGGCTTGCAACCTGTAGGTGTTGTGAACGATATGTTCACCCGGTGCACTATAAAAACCCATTGACATGTATTGCAGGTGGACTCCCACAAATAATACTATCAATAAATGAGAGCTATGGACTTAGCACCCGTTGGATGAACCCTGGTAACTATGGATTTAGTGCCTGTTGTATAAACCCTAGCGACGATGAACTCCGTGGCTATTCCTTAAGAAGAATCCTTAGGAATGAGTGATAGATGATTCTTAGGGTAGATCCTTAAAAAATAATGAAGATAATGGAGATGGGTAATTGGGTTAATTGTTTGATGATAAAACATAATAACTTTATTATAGTGGGTTGAAAACCCTATGTACTCACCAGATTTTCCAACCTGACCCACTCAGTTTATTTGTATCACAGGCGTCGATATAAAGTCACACTACACTGAGAGATTTAAAGAGATGTAGATCACTAATGTAAATGAATGTAAGTTCTGTTTATGCTTGTGTTTCTATATTAACGATGACATCCCAAAGTTTTAAAATGAATAAAATACTTTTCTTCGGAAAATGCTTTGATAATATATTTATCATGTTTTTCTGGGAACATATTCCGCAATACTTTTCTTTAAAAAGATACTCTGATTTGGAATTAAAGCATAAACAAATCAGTCTTTTCAGGCCGTGAAAATGGGGATGTCACACAAAAATAACAAAATTAAAGTCTAAAATCATGTACAAACTCAAAACTATGCGTTTGGAAAAAATCTCATGTTAATATGACTTCAAACGAATTATATATGCATATTCTAAAATTTTCACAGAATACAAAAAAAATGCTAAAAAGGAGAAAAATTGTAGCTTTGATATCCTGACTTTGGGGGACTATAAATCAATAAATGTGAAAGAAAAAATGAAAAAATTATAGTCTAAAATCATGTACAAACTCTAAACTACACGTTAGAAAAAATGTCATATTAATCCGATTTAAACGAATTAGATATGCATGTTTGAAAATTTTCACAAAATACAAAAAAAGGTTGAAAACAAAAAAATATTAACTTTAATATCCCGACTGAGGGGGACTGTAAGTTAATGAATATGAAACAAAAATTATTGTCTAAAATCAGGTAAAAACTTTAAACAACACACTGGAAAAAAAAACCACATACCAATCTGACTTCAAAACGAATGAGATATACATGTTTTAAACTTTGTTATAGAAACCAGTTCCGGACCCTAAAACAGGTTTCGGTTCTTAAACCCGATTTACCTGGACCCGAAGGGACCGGAACTTGGATAACTCTGAACCTGGATATAACCATTCTTTAAACTTGGACCAGTTCTAACAATTCTGTAACCGGTCTGGTTTTCCAGTTTTAAATCTCACCCCTAACTAGCGATCCTTACAAATGGTATCGAAAGTCTTCCTGATGGGCCAGATCAGGTGAGCGTGTCCCAAGAGATCGGAAATAAGGAAAAAATATTGGATTTGATGAACAATTTATTGTGAGGAGCCTAAGGGCGGATGTTGTGTTGGAGGGGAGGATTGTTGGGGTGCAAACCCAATCTTACATCGGTGAAAAAGAAACTAGATGCTAGCATATAAGA